TCTCTCTTAATCTACATATTAATTTCTTTTCTGGAAAGGGACTTTCCATTTTGATGAGCATTTATGAATACCTGTGAATATCAGACATTCTTCCCAAATGTTTTAGCATGAGTTTAGCATAGAGAAGTGAGGGAATGCCTATTTTCATTAGCTAGTTGAGAGAATCCCGGTCAGGCACTGTATTGCACCCTGAGATAGGAAAGCATATTTCTGGGATTATGACAGCTGGGCCTGCTTAAACAGCTGCCAATATCAAGGAGAGTCATCCTAATAACATTTTTAACATCCACATCCTTAGTTTACTTGGTTTGACCTACATTGCTTCCAGTTTCTGCCTCTCCAAACAGCCCTCTTTAATGGTGACATCTCTTATCTCCCCTATTTTTAAAAAGGTTTTATTTATTTATTTTTAGAGAGAAGGGAAGGGAGAGAAAAAAAGAGGGAGAGAAACATGTGTGAGAGAAACATCGAATGGCTACTTCTTGCAGTCCCCCAACTGGTGGACCTGGCCTGCAACTCAGGCATGTGCCCTGACCAGGAATCAAACTGGTGACCTTTTGGTTCACAAGCCAGCACTCAACCCCCTGAGCCACACCAGCCAGGGTTGTAGTGGTTCTGAGACTGATAGTTGCCAAGTGGTTGGGAGACTGGGTAAAAAGGTGAATGGATTAACAAGTACAAATTGGTAGTTACAAAATAGTCATGGGGATATAAAGTACAGCATAGGGAATATTGTAAATTATATTGTAATAACTCTGTATGATGCCAGGAGGGTGCTGGAAAAATTGGGGGGATCACTTTGTAAAGTATGTGATTATCTAACCACTATGCTGTATACCTAAGACTAATACAAAATAACATTGAATGTAAACTATAACCGAAAAATAAAATTTAAATAAAATAAAATAGTCATTCTGAAACTGTGGAGCTTCTTAGAAATACAAACTCTTAGCCCTACAACTGTTCCATTGTATCAGAAACTTTGCAATGGAACTCAGTAGTCTGTTTCACAAGCTCCTCAGGTAGTTTTGATTCATGTTAAAACTTAAAAAAATGTATATATTTATGTAAAGACAATGACATAAAAGATAAAACCTGATTCATCATTTTGAGGGAAGGAAAAAAAAAGAAAAAAATCACCTGAACTGATAATGGAAAAAGATTTTATCTTTTCCTGTACTATTTTCTTATTTTGTACACAGATTACTAAACTACTACTCCAAAATAAAGTATCTATTTCTTCCAAAAACAAAAACAAACAACAATAAAAATACCCAAAATGATTTTGGTTAGATTGTATTGTGACAGCCGTATAAGAGCATGCATTTAAAAAAAAAAACACATTAAAATTGGTGAATCTTTTTGCAGTCACTTTTATATTAAAGATGGAAGAAAATACACAACATTTTTGGTATATTGTGCTTTATTATTTCAAGAAAGATAAAAATGCAACTGAAACCAAAGAAAAGATTTGTGTAGTGTGTGGAAAAGGTGTTGTGACTGATAGAATGTTCGAAAGTGGTTTGTGAAGTTTCTTGGTACTGTTGACATTTTGGCCAAAAAATTCTTTGCTGTGGGGCTGTCTTAGGCATTGGAAGATGTCTCAGCAGCACCCCTGGCCTCTACCCTCTAGAAGCCGATAGTGGGAAATAGCCAGCATACTCAAAACCTCCAAATCAATAAAATTATAGTAAAAATAAAAAACAAACAAAAACAAACAAAACTTCAGGTTCTCTGCCTTAAGCCATTGTATTGGCCTTCTCAATATGATTTTTTTGGTTTTCTCTTTTTGGGTTCTAATCATCAGCACTCTTTGTTTCTTCTCTTCTTAGGTTCAGATCGTAAGTTATGTAACCTGAGCTAAGGATATTCTAAAACATAGAGCTGAAGAAATGTTTTTAGCATTGATAATATTTTTCCATAGCATGCTTAATGGTACATTTTCATAGGCACTTAGAGAAAAGTTTGAGCTCTATAGTTATGACAAGGAAGAGTACATGGAAATTGGGGATAAAATATACTGCAATAAATATCTTCTGAGCTTTTAGAAACTCAATTTGGATTTGTAGGCTTAGGATGCAAATGAGATCTGGAGGAAATTCATCAACAACATATTTGCCATCCAAGAAAATTTCTAATCTTGTTATCCCTATGTCTTACTGCTGATAATTAAAATAGCCTTTTCCCAATTATTGGAGGTACTTCCAAGAATATATTTTCTAACTTTTAGATTTAGTTTAAAGTTTAATTCAAAATTAAATAAAAAGAGGATACTTGAAAGAAAATTGTGTATGAATTCACAAATATTGTAATGATGATTTTCAATCTTATTGTGAGAAATTATGTGCTCTGGAATGAAAATAAAAGATTACTGAGTAATTAGAAAATATGTCAGAGCATTAGGCATTTCATTTGAAAAGTTTTTATTTGTATCTTTTTGACTGGGAATTCTCCTGTTGCTAAAAGTTTTGCTCCTGGTATAAAATCTGTGATTACTTAACCATTTTACCAAACTACAACCAAGTCAATATGTAGTTTCCCCATTATATAAATAGTCCTGTTGTAGATATGCACTGCAAAAGAACCAAGAGGATTTCTCAGGAGTGTGAACAATTGGTATGATGCAATAATTTATCCTATGAGAGCACTGAGGTATTTGCTGGGTTATCCTCGTCCTAACTAGGACCCTGGTTTCCAGTTTGTGTGTGCCATGCACGAGCAATAGAATCTAGCAGTTTAAGAGACACACAATATGCTCCCTGTGGCAGATGCAGAAATACTGTTTCTGCTGCTTAATAAGTGTTTATTTTTAAAATATCTCAGGCAGAGCGATATGATCTGTTTTACAATCTTGAGGGGTAAACCCCTCCAAGTGAGTGGCTCTCAACATGCATCAGAATACTCAGAGGGCTTATTAAAGCAGATTATTGGTTCCTGCCCCACTGAGTTACTGGTTCAATCAGTGTGAAGTTGGAGTGAACATTTGTATTTGTAACAAGTTTCCAGATGAGGTAAATGTCCCACTCATTGCAGAAAAAGCAGTATTGTTCGATAAGCCAACTAAATTTAAGCCACTTCCCTTATCATGTGGCACATAAAAACATGCATGAATTTCCCAAAATGCCTGCTAAGGGTTATGCCTCCTCTAATGGTATAGATCTTTCAATTTTCAATTGCTGGGATTGTGGGGGGAACCCACAAAATGTGTGAGTGCTCAAAACCTGAACAAAATCACTAAGAAGGAAGCCCTGGCTGGCAGAGCTCAGTGGATTGAGCGCAGACTGGGAACCAAAGTGTCGCAGGTTCGATTCCCAGTCAGGGTACATGCCTGGGTTGCAGGCCATGACCCCCAGCAACTGCACACTGATGTTTCTCTCTCTCTCTCTCTCTCTCTCTCTCTCTCTCTCTCCCCCTCCCTCCCTTCCCTCTCTAAAAGTAAATAAATAAAAAAGTAAAAAAAATCACTAAGAATGAGAGGAGATAACTACAGGGTAGGCATGTGTGCCTCAAGGTTAGACAATATTCTGTAAGGTCCCTTCTAGCTATAAAATCTATAGTATTTAATATCATAGAGTGAAATATGAGGTCATTTCTGGGTAAACAAAAATAATGGATAATGGATATTTACATTATATACATCCATAAATCATGATTTAAAATTTCAAAGACAGATTCTTCAATTGGTAAATATAATTGATAGAAGAGCTTATCTTAAAGATAAAAACAAAAGGTACAACAATTGAGATTTAATATCTAAGATTATAAAGAATAAAGAGTTTAATATTTTAGAATCATCTTAATTTGGACTAAAATTGTTCAGAATTTAATGCAGGGTAATAACATCACCCTGCATTAATAACATCTTTAATATTATTAAGAATAAATGAAGTCAATACTATTTAATAAAAATTTACCTAATTAAAAAATTAAAGCTACACATTATTTTGTACCACAGTTCTTCCTGAGAAAGTAATGTAAGAAGTCTGTCCAGAAAGTATCCATCCAAGTACTATGAAACATAGAGACATTTATGAAGAAGATACAAGAAACATTGTACATAGGACAGTGATTCCTCAGTCCCCTTCAGGGTAGGCAACTTGAGACCTCACATAGTTCTCCCAATTACCATCAGCTGCCCCATCATATTTTCCTGAATCTCTTGTTTGAAATCTCTTCCCTTTCAATGGTGATTTTAGTTTTAGGAAAAGCCAGAAGTCACAGGGCACCAAATCTGGGAATAAGGGGGCCTGAGTCACCTGGGTGATTTGATGTTTTGCCAAAAAACTCTGCATGAGACATGATGTATAAGTGGATATGTTGTGATGAAGCTGCCAATCACCAGTTGCCCATAGCTGTGGCCTTCTGAATCATCAAAATAGTTTCCGCAGAGGAATCTTCAAGCTTAATGCAAAATTTGAGGCAGATTCATTGCTTTCTTACTCAGTCATTTTGAATACAATGGTCACACAGTACACATCCTTATTTGATGGCATCTACTTCCTCCACTGATTAGTACAGTGAAGTTGTATTGTTCACACGTGTACATTCCAGTCCACTCTCTTTGGCTGCCAAGTTACACCAATGTCACACAAACTGTTCTCATAGCAGTGGTTGGGCTTTTTCTAGACAGACCTCAGAGATACATTCTGTTATTTTTCCTTGTATGGCTATTATAATGGTTGGTCAGGGTTTGCCTCAAGTATCTAGCATAGTCCCTGGGACCAGTATATGTCCAGTAGATGTTGGCTCCAAAATATGAACAGTTTTTAATGAAACATTTCAGGAAAAGTTATGCAGATTTAATCTAGGATTATTTTATTATAAATAGTTTTAATATTGAAAAAAATTGTAATTATGCCAGGTAATCTTATATGGATGAATACATCATTTTTCAATGTGATAGATGACTAAATATTAGTATCATGAAAAGAACAGGTTTCTCTGTAGCTCATTATTTTGGTCATTCACTTGTCTCATGTTATCATTATTCTTTTTCACAGGGATTTGACAAACAAGTGGATGTGTCATATATTGCCAAACATTACAACATGAGCAAAAGCAAAGTTGACAACCAATTCTACAGCGTGGAAGTAGGAGACTCAACCTTCACAGTTCTCAAGCGTTACCAGAATCTAAAACCTATTGGCTCTGGGGCTCAGGGAATAGTTTGGTAAGTGGAATAGATTTAAATTATATTTTTAAAGGGAACACACTGTGTCAATTAGTCACACATGCATGCACACACACACACAAACAAAAAACCCATAAATAAATTGCATCACTGGGAGGGAAAATACATTCAGTTGAAGAAAAATAAAACTGTGAGCAATATTTGTAATTTGTTACCCATTTGCTAACAATATGTAAAACTACCTGTAACCACTTTTTCTGGTTTCAAAAAGTATTCATCATACAATAGCCATAAAAAACCCTCAGGGATTCAGAGGACTACTAGCTGTTATTAGTGCAATTTAGAAAATTTCATTTGAATATTTTCACAGGAAATGAAGAAATATGTGCTAACTAGCAAATAAAGTCCCCTACATTCTAAAGAAGTATAAATGGTGTCACAAATGTTCCTGAGACTTTTAAAGTTCAATGTTTAAAACATTGTTACCCATCAGAAAAATGGTATTTTAAAAATATTTTCTGAATGTTTCCAAACAGATTCTGTGATCCTTGGTCCTAAAATTGTCATAAAAGAATGACAATTTTGAGTGGCCAATTGAAATGATGACAAATCAAGATCTATTTTAGCTGTTACTAGGTTGATAAGCATTTCTGTTAGATAGTCATAACTAGTGTAGCAATTAAATGTACTTAGCATGAAATTATTAGTATAATGATTTTCAATTTTATGGCTTAGACTTATAAGTAAAAGTTTAGGACATTCATTACAAATATATATGTATATTTATATTTATAAAAGAAAATTATTTATGTCAATATTTGTATTTGTTATATGAATTACTGCTATGTTAGTAATGTTAATTTAAAAACACTTTTAAAGGATGAGATGAAGACTTTTTTTTTTTTAGCAGTTTTAGATTCATAGCAAATCTAGAGGCAGGTACAGAGATTTTCCATGCATGGCTTCCCCCCTTACCAACATCCCCACCTCAGTGGTACATTTATTGCAATTGATGAACCTGCATTGACACATCATAATCACTAAAGCCCATAGTTTACATTGGGATTCACTTCTGTTGTTGTATTATCATATGGGTTTGAACAAAAAAATGAGATGTTTTCATTTTTATGGTATCATACAGAGTATTTCCACTGTTCTAAAAATCCTTTGTGTTCCTCCACCACTCCCTGCCTCTTGAAACCATTGCTCTTTTTACTGTTCCCAAGTTTTGCCTTTTTCAGAAAGTCAATTAAATGGAATTATAAAGTATGTAGCCTTTTCAGATTGGTTTCTCACACTTAGTAATATGAACTTAAAGTTCCTCTATGTTTTTTTATGGGTTGATAGCTTATTTCTTTTTAGAATTGACTAATATTCCATTGTTTGGGTGTGCCATAGTTCACTTGTCCATTCACCTATTTTACGATGTCTTGGTTGTTTCCAGGTTTTTGGCAATTATGATTAAAGCTGCTTTAAATATCTGTGTACAGGTATTTGTGTAGACATAAGTTTTAAAGGTTCACTTCATTTTGACAACCGATTTTAGGCTTACTCTAAATGCTTAGTTGATTCAAATGGCAAAAGTGCAGAGTTGGGGTACTTATTAAATCATTTACTAGCATTTAAACCTCATTTATCAAACATACCAAGTCTTTTACACAAATTTACCTAGTATATTTTAATCTTTTCTAATGTCTATCAATTGTTCATGCAATTTAAAAGGTAGAATATTTTAATATTTTTAACAATGGGCCATATCTTTTATTTTGAAGATAGTTATAAAGGTAAAGCAGTTTATGTATGTATATATGTATGTATGTATGTACATACGTATTATGGTGCAAGTGTGAGATGAACCCCTTTGTGGCACAAAACAATTTCATTATTTCGTAGGTAGAATAATGGTTTCCCCAAAGATTACAGTGCCCAGACCCTAAACTCCCAAATCCTTGTATATGTTATTTTACATGGCAGAAGGGACTTTGCAGATGTGGTTAAGGTTAAGGATCTTAAAATTGGGGAGGTTATCCTGGAATATATATATGAGACCAAACTAATCACATGAGTCCTTAAAACTGGGAAAGAAAGGCTTAAGAGTGGGTCAGAGAAATGCAATGGGAGAGGAGAGATAAGAGATTTGAAACATAAGAGAGACTTGCCTTATTGATCCTGGCTTTGGAGATGAAGGAAAAGGGTCACAAGCCAAGGAATGGGGTGACTTTTACAAGATGGACAGGCTCTCAGCTGACAATCAGCAAGAAAATGGAGACTTCAGTAATACAACCACGAGGAATTGAAATCTGCCCACAAACCCAAATGAGCAAGGAAACCAATTCTTCTCTAACACATTCAGAAAGGAACTCAGATTGCCAAAATCTTGATGTTAGCCTCCTGAGATGCATGTAGGCCTTCTCATCTATGGTACTATAAGATAATAACTTTGTGTCGTTTAAGCAGTTAAGTTTGTGGTGACTTATTGAGGCAGCAATATTAATACATGTGGTATAGTAAAGATTCTACTATTAAGATAATTGCTCTAAATTGTGGGGGAGCTTTGCCCGCAGAGCCCCCTGTACGCCACGGATGAGAATAAGTCTACCAAGACAAGATCTGCTTGGGGAGGAAAGTTGGCCAATCTCTTGAAGGAGAAGGACCAAGAGCCTTTTCCTCAATGGCTTTTATTGGGTTCATTTACACAAGAATTCAGGTAAAGCTCATTACTCATTGCCAGGAAGTAAGGATCAAATAACAAGGAACACTGAGGGCCTATTTTGAGTCAGGGTCAGATAGCTAAAGAGCTGTAAAACTTTGAGGAACAAACTTACTTCTTCTTTGGACCCTTATCATTCAATTGAGAGCATTCTAAATAAAGCAGGTTTCACAGGATTTTACATATTTTTTCTTAGGACTGATCACCCGGGGAACCTGCCCTTTCCAGCACAGGGCTACACCACCCTCTGTCATTATTTCAAGCTTAGGTGGAGTAAGGGAAGTAAGGCAGCCAAGAGATTAGGAGATTTTCTCACAGACAATGAGGACTCAGGCTATGTCAAATCCGAGGGGCGACGATCCATCACCCCCTTTTGCTGTAGCTCCCAAAGTCCTTCCTTGGTGGCCTCCCACATGATCATGCCTGTCTTAGATTGTTCCCCACATGGGGAATCTTACCCATCATTGGCTAACTGACCAAGCATTGGGGGCCAGGCAGGGTGAAGTAAAAGGAGCAGAAAGGGCACTCCTGCCAGGGAGATAAGCTTTTGTCTTTTTGGTGGCTTATGGTCCAGGGTCATTCTTTCAGCCATAGCCTTGGTGTGGGTTACAGCTTTTGATACCAGGCAGGGCAGTTCCCAATACTAAATCTCATAAAAGCAGGCACACTAAACTATGTTTTTACAAGAAAAAGTTCAGGGTACCTCTGTCAACCCTCCCTAGACTGTGAAATTCCCACTCTCTTTCTTTTTTAATCCTCACTCAAGAATACGTTTATTGATTTTAAGACAGAGGAAAGAAGGGGGAGAGAGAAAGAGAGAGAAAGGAAGGGAAAGCAAGGGAAGGGAAGTGGGGAGGGGAGGGGAAGAAAGGGAAGAGAAAGGAAGGGAAAGCAAGGGAAAGGAAGAGAGAGAAAGGAAAACATCTTTGTGGGAGAGAAACATTAATCGTTTGGTGCTCCAACCAACTGAGCCACCCAGCCAGGGCCCTACTGCCTTTTGAAGTCACATCTTTAACCTTCTGTAACATGTGACTCTGTGCCAGGAGGATAAAGTGTGCATGAGAGGGGCCAATGTTAATGTTTATATAGTAGTAAGTAAAGTGAGGGTTATTTTGTTTCTATATTACAATATATGCTTATATTTACTTCTGCATTCTATTAAATGGTTTGTGTACCATAAGGAGAGTAGGAACCCCCATTTAGGAGATCATTGCATTCATGAAAGACTTTCAAAATGAAATAAAAAATAAAACAAAACCAAAAGTTCTTATAAAGTAGGACAGATGGGAGAGGGGAAAAACAGAGTGATTATTGGATGTCTTTTTAAATGGAAAACTGTAGAGTACCAAAAAATTTTCTTAAGATTCTCAGTTAAGATGCCCAAATACTTACCAGGATCATTTTATTTCCCTTTAATTAAAACTCCCACAGAAAATGAGGATTGTTAGTGAAAAGAAGCCGATAGCCCTTTAATGATTCAGAAATAGATCCAAAGCAGAAATTTCACTTAAGTTAACAGATTGTCACAGAAAGAATTGAAAAATCTACCATTAAGAATTTTGTAGTATTTTTAATAGGATATTTTGGACCTCTATTTCTCCTTGTACAAAATGGAATCATCTTAAGTCTCAGGCATAGTAACAGAAAATATATTTATTTTTAAAAAATTTTGTTGTACTTTTACATTACCAATTATCCCTGTTATAACCCCTTCCCTGCTGCAGTCACCACACCATTGTCCGTGTCCATGAGTCCTTTTTCCTTTTGGCTCAATTCTTCCACCCCCTGATGCCCCCACCCCAGAGCTGTCAGTCTACTCTCTATCTATGAGTCTATCTCTATTTCACTTGTTAGTTCAGTTTTTCTATTAGATTCCACATATGAGTGAAATCAGATGGTTTTGTTTTTCTCTGACTGGCTTATTTCACTTAGCATGATATATTCCAGGTTCATCTGTGCTGTTGCAAAGGGTAAAACTTTCTTCTTTTTTATGGCTGAGTAGTATTCCATAGTGTAAATGTCCTATGGTTGTTTTATCCACTCATCAACTGATGGACAATTGGGCTGCTTCCATATTTTGGTGATTGTAAATAGCACTGCAGTGAACATAGGGGTGCTTGTGTCTTTTTGAACTAGTGTTTCGAATTGCACTGTTGGTGGGAATGTAGATTGGTGTAGCCACTGTGGAAAGCAGTATGGAGTTACTTCAAATAATTAAAAGTCAAACTCTCATGACCCAGCAATTCTACTTCTGAGAATTTATCTGAAGATATATTTCAATAAATAAATGTCCTTGAGTAAAATTTTTAATCCAGCTTTGGCTTAAGGG